AGGAAGGGTGAGGTCAATCCGATGGGGAGCGTTGAAAGAAAGACACAGCAGAAGACTCAACCAGAAGACAGAAAAATTGACTCGCACGCTGGTGGGGACGGGAATATAAACAGAAGAGTGCTTCCCCCCTCAATCATGCACAGACACATGGAGGCGACGAGAGAAGAAGAGGAAGTGCTGACAAAGGAGAAAAAGAACTCGAGATATGGCAGTGTGAACAAAATAATCCCTCTGTCGCTTCGAATAATCTCGTACTCCTGACAGGCCAAGCGGCCTAGCTCAGTTGATTGAGCACGTAAGTGGTACACAGGAGGTTCTGGGTTCGATTCCCCACGGCATCCATTCGATTCCCCATGACCCATGACCTCCTGTGTGGAATACTTTGGGTTCACCAACTGAGAAAGTCGGCTTGTCCCTCCTCACTGGTTGTGGAAGATTTGGTACCTTACTTTCCAGCCCGCACCAGGTGTTGGGTGCTTGGGTGCGGCTCCCCGCACAGAGCAGAGGTAGGTAGGAACAGACCTATAACCTTAGGATAGCTTAGGCATAGTTGCTATATTTAAGTTCGAAAGACAGATTCCAGTATAGAGAAATTGCTTCCTCCTGAATCGAGGTAGGTTGCTAGGGTGAGGTAGATACACGATTGAGAGAAGAAAACAGGGTAGTGGAAAATACATCTTGTCCCTCACATATGAGGAAAAAACAGCTGTATCTCTATACAACTAAAAGTTACAGCGGTCCCAACGTCACACAAAGCCGTGGGCCCACAGAAAATCGCGCCACGGGCGGAACCGGAGCAGGCCGTCGTGTGAGGGCGGGGTGGGTGGAACCGGAGGAGGCCGTTGCATGCGGCGAGGCGAAAAGCGGCAGGGCCCATGGGAAAAAGGGCGTGCCCACAAGATTTTGTGTGCCAGGGTGTCACCGCGCGTGGATTCCCACCGACGAGAAATCGTGGGATGGCCGCAAATGGAGCAACGTCGCATGTCCGCCGGTGTGCGTACCGAGGGGACACGGCGCGGGGCCTGTGGCAAAAAATGTGTGGGGGTGCGTGCAGAGAAAGCGCCGAGGGAAAGCGCCATGGTGGGGACACGAGAGAGAGAGAGAGAGAGAGAGAGAGA